TCAATCAAGACCACTGATTTGTGGATAGCAGAAATCCGAGGTCACACATACAAAATTGCCTGATGACTTTTTCTAATTCCTAAGCCACAGCCGCCCAAATACATATGATCTTTTCTCTCAATTTTTGCCTTCATCTTTAATTTCTTTTTACTGACTTTAAAGTTCTTGATTCACCTTTCAAAGCTGTTTGTTAAAAACAAAAAAGCCAGCATGTTAACATTAATTAAATCACAATACAATACAAATTTATTTATATAGCACATTTAAAACCAAAGTGCTTCACAATAATGCAATAAGTCATTGTTATAAAACATTAACAAAGTACAAAAACAAGTACTAGTACTAATCCTAACAGATGGGAAGCACTAATCACTTTAAATAATCAAGTTAATCACTGAAGGACGAATAATTTCAGACCGGCTCTACTCCATACCATGCCAGGCTGGGTGAAAACGTCCCCGTGGACTCCAGCCATGGGCACACACTGGCTGGCGTGTCCGTTACAGAAACAGCTTCCTTGAACCACCATGTTGTAAACAGAATAGTAATATTTGTCCTGAGGGTTCCTGCGTTTTCGACTCAGCAGTGTGTCACCAAGTGTGAAAAGACGTGTGAAGTTCACCCGAATGTTTGTCACGGTGGTCAGATCTGAGGATGATGATCAGAACAATATTCAGTTTTACACGTTTCCCCTATTTCCATTAAAATGTTCCATTTGACAGACACATTAAAAGTGTCAGGGCTGCTGAGCGCCACTTGTTAGGGTCTATCTTCAGTCTGTCGCCGGGAAGTTTTTCCCAATGATGAATATGCAGAGAACATAATTGGAGATACATTTCCTGAATTTCAGGAGGGGGACTACGCCTCTAAACACGCCCCTTCCAGCTCTTATCTATATATAACCCCCCCCACACACACACATACATTTCTACAAGCTCTTTTGTCTTGTTTTCGTGCACCACTCTCCCTCTCCTTTTTCAAGTCTTTCACTTCTTCACTTCACATTAGTACATGAGGGATCTGCCAGGCTAGGAGCCGCCTCCAGTTCAACTCCAAACTGCAGTTCAATTCATGTTTAAGCCATTCACTATTATCTATTTTAAAAAAGCTGTTAAACCTCAAATAACGACGTGGGCCCAGCTAGTGAATGATACATTTATTGGAGGCTCATTAGACATCAACCTCTTGTTAAAGAGCGTAAACCCCTGAGGCAAAAAAATGTGTGGAAGACTAAAACCTGCAGTTCCTCTAATGTTCGCAGCGCATTGGTCCCCTTAGGCTACGTTCACTCTGCAGGTCTTGATGCTCAATTCTGATTTTTTGATCAAATCCAATTTTTTTGTCTGCTCGTTCACACTACAAATAAAATGCGACAGCAAACGCGCTCTAGTGTGAACACTCAAAGCGGCCGCATGCGCAAGGAGACGTCACACACAACGCGCTCTGTTTAGACCCAGACCAACAGTATGTTTGACTGATGGTCTTAATATAAAGACTTGTTTCAGACCTTACGTTTTCCAATTTTGCTTTAAGTTATAAAGTTATTTTGTTATTTACATATGGCCTAGTAATTATCCTTATTGCTGTTTTAGAGAGGAGCGCTGCTTCAAAGGATAGTTGCAGATTTCTGTCAGAATCTGCAGATTATACAGTACAAATAAAATGTTCACGTTTCTCCAATGCTGTCTTCCCAACAGTTTCACTGACATCTACACTTGCTGGCCAGGAAGCGTTCACGATGTCTTCTCGTGCACTTCTCCGGTGCTGATAATTGGTGTCTGTCCTGTGTCAGTGATGTAAAAGACGGATTTAATGTGACATGATCATTCAAACTGCAGCAGCTTTCTAAAACATCATATGTATCAGATTCAGTACCACATACGAAAGTGACCCAGATCGGATTTGAGAATATCGGATCTGTTCACACTGTCAGACCATGATTGGATATGGGTCGCATAGGGTCAAAAAGGTCAGATTTGATGCACTTTCGCCTGCAGTGTGAACGTAGCCTTAGACTCCCATGTTAAAACGTTATAAAAAAAGATAAGCCTGACCCCCCCCCACAGTTTGCCCCAGGGCAACTGTGGTTTGCCTCCACCAGTGTGTGAATGTGAGAGTGAATGAATAGTGGAATTGTAAAGCGCTTTGAGTGTCTATATTATTACATATAAACACAGTGACAGCTATTTAGGAAAACCTCACCGTGGATGTTCGGTGCATGAGGGTTTTCTGTTTTAAAGACAGGATCCAGAGCTTTCAGCACCACCTAGAGGACAAATATAAGAAATACAAACATATTTACTTACACAGAACCAGTATAAAAAACCATAATTAATGCTTTGCTGTTATATTACTTCATCATTTTATCATTCCTGTGAGTTAGTTTCAGTTTTGTCTCAATGAATTCTTATGACAAAGTCCAGAATGACTGAAGCCCAGGGGAGAAAAAAAGCTCATGTTCACACTGGCTGTAGTTAAAATTGTTACCTCTCCACCTGAGGATGGTTCTGATCCAGAGTATCTGCTGTCACAGACAACGTCATCGATGCTCCTGGCGGGCGCAGTCGACACTGAAGGGAAATGAAGAGAACAGTCTTCTGCAAAGTAACGGACAACTGTCCAACTTCGCCCAAAATCCCTTGATCGTTCCACCAACATGGCTGCTGGCCGAAAACTCTGCACAGAGCAGATTAGCATTATCTTAATGTTTGATTAGGCAAATGTTAAAGGTGTAGGCTCTTTTCTGTTTATACGACTTTTTGACTAGCATTTAGTTAATTCCCTAAAAACATTAAATTCAGTACGCTTTAGAGGTATACCTTGAACCTGAGGACCAGGTGACTGAACTGGAACATAGTCTCCAGATTTAACTGGATGCTGACATTATGAACTCCTGCACAGAAGGCAAACACAGAGCAGACTTACAGTGTTAGATTGTTTGTGATAGCATATTTTAACTGTAACGTTCCACAAACAGTGAGTCGTGTTTCTTTGTCACACACAGAGCAGAAGGAGCAGAGTTGCAAAGCTAAGTGCTTTCTCTTACCCAAACACATTCTGCCACCTAAACAAAATGTTTTTTGTAACTAATATATTGATTTCACATAGTTTTCCTTTTCCCTCTGATTGGACAGTTTGTTGTTGCAGAAATACTCAAACTTACCAGTCTCCGACTGCCACCACTTCAGCTTTCTCTCGAGGTCAAAATTTGTGATGACATTCTCAATACGGTGGCTGTTTGGGCTGTTGTAGCGATGATATGGTAGCCGAGAGTCACATATGAAACATTTCTGCCTCTCCTATGAATAAACATAAACCAGCCTGATCAATGATTACCTCTGGGTTTATAATACTACAAGTAAACTACATGAAATATCATTACTTTAGTAGTAATGATATTTCATGTAGTTAATTTAATTTATTAAGTATTTCAATCACCATAAAGGAGGTAATGCTTATTTCTTCATTATACCAATGCCTACAAATCATGGAACAGGCTATTAGCCCAGGCAAAAATAGCATCTTCTATGATATAACAAATTAATTTTGTTATTGATCAATGCAGAAGACAGAGTCATGCTTTAAGCTGTGCTTGAAGAGCCTGAACATACAATTTAAAACTGGATCATTGCCAAGTTGTCTGTTATTTTTACTCGTTCATCCTTTGAGCCTTTTCATGCTTGGGTGATTCACCAGTCAGAAGAACTTTGAATGCTGGAGAAATAATGCGAAGATTGACGATACATCAGAAGGAAAAGAAAATAAAGAGAAAAGCATATACGACGGGGAGAGGTGGAAATGATCCTCAGGGTGAAGAGAACAGCGTCAGATAATAAAGACACAGATCTGAACATGCTTCAGTATGAAGACGAGCCAGAAACATCAATCAAGAGAAAATGAGTTCAGCTGTAGTTTATTCACACACAGGCTGGCATATCTTGCTTCACTTCACACACACACACACACACTAGTGATGGGT